ATGCACAAAGTATGATAGCCTTCTATTTTTGGTACAATAAACGACAAAATGAGAAAAGCTAGAGAGAGAGAGAAAATCCACAGCCTTCATCAATTGAAAAAAAAAGAATAGCCCAAAATATCTCTATCTCTAGAACTAGAGCATTTTGATCCAATGCAGAAAAGCTAAACATAAAAGACACGGAAATTCACCAGTTGGAAACAGCAAAGCAATAAAGGCCTTGCTCAATTCTCGATTCAAAAACCTGACAGCCTAGAGAGGTACAAGGGGCACTAAATTCAAAAGGGGAGGAATTTGTTTATATATATATATATATATATATAGAGAGAGAGAGAGAGAGAGAGAGAGAATATTGCCATCAGTTTGGCAGAACCAAGTGTTATTTGATAATGGCCAGGCAGAACCACAATTAACCCCTGTAACTACATACACCAGGCACACAAGAAATTTTCTCAATGTATATGGACATGAGTGCATAGCAACATACTATTTTTAATAAATAGTGAAATCCGTCTATGACATTTAAAAACACCTATTTTCTAATAAGGGTAAACACCTCTCACTACTGCCATTTCTAAAGCTTTACCAGCACAGATTTAGAACTAAATTTACCAATACCTATAATCCAAACATGTCAGAGCCCCAGCAGAACAACATATCTATTCATGTCCACTATTCTTTAAACCACATGTGAACCCTATTCTCACACGTTCCTCCCACATACAACCGGTCAAAACAAAATACATGGCCTGACTACTGCATTTGGTGCAAACGAATCGATGAAATGGAAGAGCAGAATTACCTGTGCAGGGAACTTGCCATTAAATGCATCGTGGACAAGGTTCAGCCCACCGTGTGATGCTGCCTTGTACACACCATACAGAAGCTTCAAGTCAAAATCATACAGGAACAGCTTCACCCCTGGCCTTATCTTCTTGACCATTTCAATCTTCCCACTGGGCATCCCGAACAAGCGGTTCTGGTAGCACTCCTTCTTAGTCTTTGCATTGCACATGAATATAAACCCTGCAACCTTACGGTCACCCCTTTCTTCCTTCTTGCCCACAGACTTCTTCCCCTTCTCCTTTCCCTTACTTCCTCCATCCTCCACAACCTCCTTCCCCTTGCCACTCCTAGACCTCCTTCTGCTCTTCATCCTGCCATCACCCCCGCTATTACCAGCACCCTCGCCCTCGCCCTCGCCCTCGCCCTTGCCCTTGCCCTTGCTGGCAGAAATTGCCACTGCAGCATCAGCATTAGCATGAGCTGGTTTTGGCTTTGGCTTTGGCTTTGGCTTTGGCGACGAAGCTGATGCTTCAGCAGTGGCTGGCATTGGTGCAGGCACTGAACCTTCAGCATCAGTGGCTGGCTTCTGCGTCTGTGCCACAGCTGATGCCTCAGCAAAAGTGGCTGACTTTGGCGTTTGCACCACAGGTGATGCATCAGCAACATTGGATGGCTGCGTTTGCACCACAGGTGATGCCTCAGCAGCAACATTGGATGGCTGCTTTTGCACCACAGGTAACGCCTCAGCAACATTGGATGGCTGCGGTAAAACCGCCGATGCAGATGCATCGCCATCACCAGTGCCTGCGCCTAAGGGGGCGACCTCGTCAACAGATGCGGCAGCGACCGCTGGCTTCTCGCGGTTGGCCTTGACCATCTTCAGCTTCTTAAACTTCGAGGCCTTGACCGACCCAGGGGTGGACGGATTCGCCTTGGATGGTCGGGCTGCCGCGTCGGCAGAGGTCGCCGTGGCCTTGACAACGCCGTTGGGCTTCTTCACCATGGCCGCTGCTCGGTGCAGATTTGTGGAGGAAACGAGAAGTATTACCACAAAAGCAGAATTGGATCCACCACAACCGAGTAATCGACAGTTATTGCGCACGGGTGGATCGATCGCACACCATATAAACGAATTTTTCGGGGAGGGGGTCTACGATTTTATCGGATCAGAGAAGAACAAGAATTTTAGGGCAATCAATCGTGCTCCTAACAAGGGATTTTTGGGGGGAAATTCTACGATTCTAACCGATTCGAGAGAAGTATTTGGGAGAAACCTAACTTATGGTGGACTCTACCTATGCGGAGCGGCCGAGGAAGGGGGCGACATACCTGGAGGTGGAGTGGCCGCGATAGTCAGGGGAAAGGAGGATTTTTTCTGACCCGGACTTGAGACGGCGAGCCAGAGGCGACGGGAGAATATATATATATTCGGCCCGTTTGGTGGTTCGCTGCGAGAATGAAAACATCGTTGGCTGGCTAAACCAACGAGCGACCAAACTGATTATACATGAAGAAGAAGAAGACCGCTCGATTTTCTTCGATTGCTCTTGTACCGTTGTACGATCCGGATGGAGCGAGGAGAAGTTGAGAGAAAACTATTTGGGGACGGTCCGAGAGCTAGGTGGTTTCACCGTCGCATATGTTTTAGCGTTGCTAACAAACGATGGAACAAATGTTTTAGTTTGAGAGAAGCTAAAAATACTAAGTGTTTCTCGAGCGCGCAGCACTCAATTCAATTTCTATAGTAAATCCGGTCTTTCCTCCTCTTCTTCTCCAAGTCCGGCGGGCATAGAAGGGAGTTTGGAGGAGGAAGACCGGCCAGTGGGGACGATGGCAGGGCGGTTTAGGGGCCCTGGCGACGGTGGAGGTAGCCAGGCTAGGTCGGGGCAGGGGTGGAGCTCCGACGAAACCCTAGCGCGGCCGTGGCGGGGCGGTGGGTGGTGGCGGGATGACAAGGAAGATGAACAATGAACAAACAAATCGAGTGTCCTGACGAGAGGCAGCATGCATGCAACTATATTAATCAAATCACTTTCGGCACGCCAGGGACCACGACGCCCACCCCGCGGACACGTTAGCCACCATCTCAGCACCACATCACCAATCTTGGCGCCAAGTAATGCGGCTACGAACGTGTTTTCTAGCCGAGCTCTATTTTTAAAATCCTTCCCATAGAGGTCTAAATGTATTTTTTTTAAACAATGACTAAATTAAGAAAAGTCAGGAGGCAGGGACGAGGGCAGAAAAGAGCCCTACGTAGGTCCCAATTAATGGAGCCAACTTGATGTCCAAAGCTATAAACAGAGGTATAGAAAAAAGTACAAATACGATACGAAGGAAATAGAAAAACAGAGAAATGGGAAATCAAAAATATAGAAAAAGGTATTTGAAATACATGAACGAAAATACAAGAAACAAGAATTAGATGGGTTCCACAGATAACAACCATGCACACAACTCTCTTTGGCAGTGACATGTTGTAACGATAAGCATATGTCCCATCATCAGTGTGATGGCAACAAGCTCCACGTACGAGGGCAGCGATAGCGATGCCCAGGTGTTGCCTCGGGCATACACGATGGAAAGGGAAACCAGAGCTTTTGAGCGAATGTTTTATTTCCTATGAAATAATGCTATAGTATTATAAAGGAAAGGGGTCTTTGTAGTCCTCTGTTCCAACTTCCAAACATTCATACTAGCTTCCTTTTCTCCGTTTTTAATTCCTGCAATTTTCCTTTGGAACCCCTTAAATTCAAACGAGGCTTTAAATGTTAAATTTAGGACATATATAGACCCCAACAGATTTTAGAATCTAGATTCCATAATAGAGGAGGGCCTCAATGGGGCTCCATTATGTGGGAGGTGGTAGGGGGGTTGGGTGGGGTGGGAGGCTTGAGCCCCGTCCGCTCCATCACGGGGTGTGCTCCTACACAAATGTATGTAATTGTATGTTCTTTAGCCATTTGGACATAGCAAAACAAGCATATTGCCATAGAATTCTAGAAATTTGCCCAAATCTACAAGAGCGTGTCTTATTATCTCTCACTTCAAATCTAGCTTCACCGTCTCGCAAGACATAACAGAGTTGGGCCTTGTGCCTGATCTTTCTAACCTTTCCCATGTCTGATCTTTCTAACTTTAAAATGCTAGTACATATTACATCCACCTCTGCTCTTATTCACGGTGAGACCATCAATTAGCAGCGTGACACCAACCAGCAGCTAGCCTCCGAGCCTCTGCACTCTCCTCGACGTCGTCAGGATGCTTCAAACCCTAGCCACCTGCGCAGCCGCCATAGAAACAGATAAAATGGGTTGTGCTTTGGACCGTGGTTGGCTTAATGGAAATAGGAGAGGGCAAATTGGTCAATTCAAGTGTGTTGACCTGTCTCAGAACCGACTAGGTTGACAAGATGAGCTAACATGGAGCCACGTTAGACAGAGGAGATCAGACCAAATTTGCAATAGGGACTAAAACGGCCGTTTTGAATGTTGATGGGCGAATTTGAGCTTTGTAGCAAAGTTTAAGGACAGGATTGGCGATTCCACCAAAAAAGGAGGATAATGAAACCATCATTAAAGAAAAAGTAAAAGGGGAAGATAATGAAACCAAAGAAAAAGCAAGCATTCGCACACCTACAAAACACACCAACATTAGACATTTATCCACCGTCGTGCATACATGACCTGTTTAAAATACCTTGTGTTCTGGATTAAAAGTGAAAAGTCTCAGTGAAAGCAGCATCTGACAAATGGTTGACAACATTATTGTGCATCACTGCATCTCTAGTATTCATCGACATCATACCTCAAAGTAACCAGTAGTATTCTCAAAAAAGATCGGTGCACAACAGCGCAAGGGCAAGGAAACACCAGCAAAATAGAATTCCAACCTGATCCCAGCAACCTTTTCTTTTCCTTATAGATACAATTGGAGATACGCTTGTTATTCAATAATACAGGAATGTTCATCTACAGCTTCCTCCCAATGACTCATTCTCTATGCACAATAATCCAGCAAATTTAGCTGACAGAACAAATACTATCACAAACAAGCTACCAGATCTACAAGAATATCGTTGCCCAGCACAAGTAACAACTCTGCTACAGATAAGTCCACTTGTGCAGCGTTCGAGGCTCTTTTGTCCCAAAAGAAAGGTAGCATGTGCCAGTGGATTCCTTAGAAGCTCTCTAGAATCTCTTCAAAGACCAAAGTTACAGTGTTAGGAACTCCACTTCAGTGTCCACATACTTTGTCCACAGGGCCTTGTATTGGTTCAAAGCAACATCAAGCCAGGGCTTCATGTTCCCATCGAAGTGTATCACTGCAGCACTACGGATTGCCTCAGGGCTGATGCTTGGATTATAACCAAGACCCATTACATGCCATGACTTATCCAGTGGCTTGGTATTGCCATAAAAGGACATCAGCCCAGCTGTTAGAATGGATGTAGGATCCCACAGCTCGCCATCCTCATTCTGCCATAAGAATATACAAACATCAGTCCCTTGGGTCAAAATCAGGTGAATTTTATTCTGATAAGAGTGGGCAACTATTGGCATCATTCGCATAATTGCATACAGATATTACACATCAGAGACTAATGCAGAACATATTGTTAGTTAGATTATGAAGTAAACAAGTTTAGGCTTCAGAGCAAAGCATTACTAGAGCACATGAACCCTACTCTCAGATAGGAACTCTTCCAGAAAGTTGCCAAGACCCCAATGTGCACCAATCCACTATATACTAAAAATTAATATGCCATGTTAGGACTTTAACATTCCCGACAAAAAGGAGAAAACATGAAAAACTATAGACCTTGGTTCAGCTGGACCCAGAACAGAAAAAAATGACAAGGCATGGCTTACATGTTCTCAGAAACAGGAAAAACACTTCTAGTTCCTGTTAAAAAGGAATGAAAAAACATAACACACTCAATTTTGTGACTGTCATCACATTTGAACCCCAGCAATTAGAAGTTACCTACCTGCAACCAAATTGAACTAAGAGGAACTAAACATCACAACACTAGCTCAATTTGGTGATCCTAAATACTCCCTCCATTCCAAATTACAAGTCATTTTGGCTTTTTTAGATATGTATCTAGACATAGCATATATCTAGATGCAGAGTAAAAGCTATGTATCTAGAAAAGCCAAAACGACATAATTTGGAATGGAGGGAGTACAGCAACCAAATTAAACTAAGAGGAAGTAATCATAACACTATAAAACAACCCACATTAAGATAAAATTTAAAACAAAATTGAGACAGTCACTAGGAAACTCATTAAAACTCAAAAGAAAAGAAAACACTCTAACAATCAAAGCAAGGCTTGCTAAGATATGATTTAAGATAATTGTAAGTTTGTTAAACAATAAGACATAGGAGCTGAGTAGTTGAGTGCATAAGACTGAACCATGCAATTGTTTGGGCCAATCCATCAAGACATTAATATTAAAAATTCTACAAATGATTTGCTATCCAATCATCTGTACACAGCCATGAATAACACAAGTTACTGGAATCATTAGCCTAGAGACACAAATTTCTTCGTTGAAATACCAAACGTTACAGGCTGAAGCACCCTGTACTTAAATCCAACACATGAATATTGGTAATGGAAAAAAAACTTAAAACAGAATCCACATCAAGCTAGTGAAAAGGTGAAGTTGAAGCACACATGACCTAAACTACATATATAGCCACTTATCAACCCCAATATACTACAATGCCACATGTAAGTTGTGAACAGAGTTCAGAGCAGCTCACCATTTCCATATACTGATGGAACAATTCTGTGCAACCATCCCGCCGCCATGTCTCAAGATCGAACACATTTACCCCATATGCCCATGCACAGGCACTGGGATTGAATCGATCCAGCACAATGGGCTGTGTGAAGTTGAGATACTTCCTGTACCTCCTAAACCCCCCGAAGCACGTCTCCACTGCGCCATTCACCTTCCCGTCCAAGTCGACCTGCCAAAGCGCTGCCAAATCCTTCTGCACCACCACATCGTCCTCCAAAAGGACCACCCTCCGCAGCGACGGGAACATATCTGGGAGGTAGAACCTCAGGTAATCCAGCAACTCGACGTCTCTGTTGCCGGCGTCGATCTGCCTGACCACCGGCGAGTTGGTGGCATTAAGGAATGGAAAGTCGGAGTAAGCAAGGAGCTGGACGTGCACGCCAAGCGGCGGCGGGCGCCGCGCGAACCAGACCCGGAATGCAGGCAGGTACATGGGCGCGGTGACCACGTGGAAGACGTGGCGCGAGGGGTCGGCCGCGGCGCGCGCAGCAGAGGCCACCACGACGGAGACGGCGAGCACATTGTCGGAGAAGATGGCGTAATGGTACAACGCGGGGTCATCGAACTCGGGGGACGGGTCGGGGTCGTCGGCGAATGCGGAGGGGTTGGCGAGGCGGGCCTCGAGGAGGCGCATGGCGAGGCAGTGGAGCGACTTGGGGGTGGAGTCCGCAGCGATGCGGGAGGACATGCGCCCCGCGCGGCGCGCGCGCGAGAGCTGCTCGCCGACGGCGAAGACGGTGTCGGAGAGCTTCTGGATCTAAACGCGCCCTAAAGAGAAATGAAGAGAGAGAAAGAGACATTCTCCAGCACCAACAGACGCAGCTGATGTTTACGACTATTTTGTGCGGCCAATGTCTATGAACCGTCAAATAAAGAATATAGTATGTTTAAAGAAATGAGATGCCAGATAGTAATAAATCTGATGATGTTCCGTGAGGTGCAGAGAGACAGTGGTGTTTTCTGCGGTCGATAAGACTAAGGCCCTGTTTAGATAAAAAAATTTAGATTTTGGCTACCGTAACATTTTTATTTGTATTTGACAATTTCACTCGTGTCTAATAAATCGATGATGTTCCGTGATGGAGAGAGACAATTAAGTTCAAAAAGTTTTAGATAAAAAATTTATTTTTGCTCCGTAATATTTTCGTTTGTATTTGACAATTAGTTTTTTAATTAAGTTCATTTTTAGTGATTTCTCCAACTGCAATTAGTTTTTTTCGCTCACATTTAGTACTCCATGCATGTGCCGTAAGATTCGATGTGACGGGTACTACGCAAAATTTTTTGAATCTAAACAGGACCTAAAGCTGTTTTGTTATGAGAGAAAATATTATACCATAGCTCATAAGCTAAGCCGATAAGTTCAAACGAATAAAATGAACTAGAAACATTTAAGAAGTTCATCAGCAGGGTACTCCTGTTCGGCTGGCTCAAGGCCAGCTGTTTAGGCGATTGCGGCTCTTAGCCTTAGACACTGTAAGTAGAATCTATTTACAAACATTTTATTGGACTCTAATTGTTCATTCGTAAATGCGTGTATAGTATTATCAAGGTTATATCTTTAAGGCCTATTTGGTACACTCTGATCTTCCACAATCTACATGGCACTACTATAAAATTGATGTTAGAACACATGCTCATTTCATTAACGGAGGCATGCACAAAATGTAGTTGTCTCCTAAAATAGGTGATGATTTTTGGATGTGGTCATTTTATTTTAGGAGACAGTAAAAAATTGTCCGTCTCTAAAAATCCATTAACAGAGAGACATCTTAATAAGTCCGCCTCTAGAAATAGCTCCTATTTCCAAATCCATTCTTCCCAATCTATCCCACTTAGCAAACCCTAAGTATAAAACATCCTGTGGCCAACCCCTTCCACTAGAAATCCATTCGCTCGCTCATATTTCTCTCTCTCTCTCAAACACACACGACACCATCGGCGACCGGCCAGCTCGAGGTAGTGGCAAGGGCGGGGGGCGGGTGTGGATCCGATGAGGAGCAACGACAGAACGCGGATCTGGAAAGGAGGAGCGGCAGCGGCACACGGGTCCGGCGAGCAGCGTGGCGACGCATCGATGGGCTTGGCGAGCCTCGTGCATGTGCTTAGCGGACCCCTTGACTAGCTCACTACTTTTTAAATTTATTGACGGAGGCGGGCATTTGTCCGCCTATGTAAATTAGGATTTACGCAGATGTGGCAGCCGAGGCGAACAGTCTGCCCACTTCTATCAATGCTTTTTGACCGTCTGCGAAAATACTTTTGGCAGTAGTGGCTTGGAAGGGACTGAAACAAAAAATTGGTTCATTTTCCTCTCTAATCCATCTCAACCCATGTGGATTAAGGTGAATTTGATTGCAACCAAATAATCCCTGAGTGGTTTTGCCCATTCCCTTGTACCACTGTCGGGAATTGGCAGGGAATGTGAATGGAACTTCCCCAAATGCATTAGCATGCTATATGTCAAATAGTTGTTCTTCGTCCCTTGGTTTAATCACCACCACAGCCACTTGATAATTACTTAATAGCAGTCTACGGAGTCTTCAAAGTCAAGAAACACAATGGGATCAATCCTAGAGGAGGAAACACAATGGGATCAATCCTAGAGGATACAAACCCTTCAAAGTCCATCTTCTTAATGTGAAGGCGATTTCTCCGGTATGCTGTTTTGTGTTGTGGTTTTTCAGTTTGGAGCTTCTCACTGATGCTCACGAGCCTCCAGTGTGTTGTTTTGTGTTGTGGTTTTTTAGTTTTTCGCGTCATAGACTGAAGACGACTTTCCCATATTTCTGACCTTGTCTAAGTACTGTACCTTGTTACATCCATTGCTACTAAACAATAATGAGTTCTAGAGCAATTGTGGAATTTTTGTGAATAGAGGTAGAGATGCTAGCATTGATGATTTATGTGAGCTTTTGCATGGTGCAATGTCGTTTTTTTATAAGGACTCAGATTTATATTAAAATCGAGTTTGTCATCATCTTCAACCTCTAGCCTCTCCTCCTCAAACCAGACATGACAAAAATTCTTGGAGGGGCTCTAGAGGGACTCCATGGGATCAATGGCGGTAGGAGGGCTTGAGCCCCCCTCGCCCCACCGCTAGATCCTCCCCTGTTCACCGTGCTCAATCTTATGGCCACATGCATGCCAACGTTGAATCTCGGGCTCAACGATGTCACCGACAGTAGTCTTGCCGGCAGTGGATTGAGGCACGGTGTGACAATGAGGACGAGATGGTGCTTTCGAGCTGTGACGAGCCCCGCTTCCTCCTCCATACCGAAGGGCGGTGCCTTGGATTGGCCTGGCGGGATGGGCACCTTGTAAGATCCTCAATGGCTAAAGGGGGTGAATAGCCTAATCAAAAAATCTATAAATCACTAGAGCAAAATGATTAGTACAACAAATGGCGATAGCAAGTTTTGCTCTAGCTCTACCGAGTGAAGCAAGCTACCTATCCAATCAATTCTAGTGAATTATAATCTCTATGGCACACAAAGGTCTAAGTTGCTAATTCTACACTAGTGAGCTAGCTAGCACAAGAATTACTACCTAATTAACTCTAGTTACTCAACTAAGCAATTCTAGCTACTTCTACCACTACACAAGTATATCAAAGAGTAAATACAAGAGATAGAGGTAGATATACCGCACGTGGCAAGAGATGATCAATCACTATATGAATACCAAGGGAGAAATCCAATGCACAAGAGACAACCAATTTTTCTCCCGGGGTTCACGTGCTTACCAGCACATTAGTCCCCGTTGTGTCGACCAACACTTGGTGGTTCGGCGGCTAATAGGTGTTTCACAAACCTAGCCCAACAATTGGGCGCCGCAAGAACCTACCCACAAGTGAGGTAGCTCAATGACACGCGCAATCCAATAGAATACATTTTGCCTCTTCGCTGGGAGAAGGTCAAGAACCCGCACAAGCAACCGATCGGAGCTGCAGATAATCACCAACTCTACTCAATGATCCTCCAATCACCGGGCCATCTAGGTGTCGGCAAACACCAAGACTGACAAGATCATGACCAGCCCAAATCACCAAACTAATGCCACAATATAATGCAACTCAATGCAATGCACTAGAGGCTCACCAATCTCACCCAAATGATGAAATTAATTGTACAAGTGAGTGGATTATGTTTGCTCAGCTCCTAAAGAGTGTGCACAAGTGTATGATGTGCCATGAGAGTGGCAAAGGCTAGCCACCTCCTCTATTTATAGCCACACAAGCAAATAGAGCCGTTACCCCTTTGGAGCGGTGTACACCGTCACGTCCGGTGACACCCCGACTATTGTTGCTCGGCCAAGGCCAGGTGGGCACTGCCCTAGGGGTGGCGGCGCCACCAGACAGGGCATGGCGGTGCCACCCAGGCACCAACACTTGCTCTCCAAGTTGCAAACTAAGTCACGTTTCGATCCACGGCAACTCGAGCAACTCTCCGCAAGCGATGCTAACTCTCAAAGTATTTTTTTCAAAACATGTTAGCATTTGTCAAAAATATTTTCGATAAATATTTTTGCTTGCTCTCCGAAGTGCACTAGACCTAAATGCAATGCATGAAGTCCAACACCTAGTGGCACTAGATGACCGAATTGTCTAGAAGAGATCCTCTATTAATAGTATGGCCATCTATCCTAAACGTGATCACACTCTTTATAGTGTCTTGATCACCGAAACAAAATCCCTATTTATACATTTGCCTTGATCTCTATAGGGTTTTGTTTTTCTCTTTCTTCTTTTCAAGTTGGAGCACTGGGTCATTATCACATGTGGCCATCTCATCGTTTCATGTGACCGTCACCATCACTTGAGTGCCATCATGCTCCACAACTTGGGTGTACCAACCTATCTCACACATCACTTAGATAGCAAGGTTAGTACACATAGGTTTCATCAATTATCTAAAACCAAACTAGGGTTTTCACACCTCCCAGTGGAAGCATTGCAGCAATGCGGCGAGGAAGGCCGGCATGACCTGCATTGTCATTATCACTCCTATTACTACACCTTCAGCAAGGCATGAGCCTTGATTTTCAGTTTCCATTTGGGTTATTTCCTTCAACTTTCAAGCACTTATGACAGCTCTAGTGTCGGTGTCAAACCATGTGATCCTATAAAGCTGAACAAGAGCATAGTTCGATATCTCCATCGTCAGCATTGTCTCGTGGGACCCAGATATAATTAACGGTAATGCTCTGTTCGGGCATCCGATTGTTCGGATGGTTGCATTCGAGGGCCGCGGCACCAGCCCAATGGCCCAACTAGCGTATCCTCATGTCCACTTGCCTCTAACCTTATCCTGCTGCTCCATTCTCTAGAAGGCTCTCCACTGCAGCATCGCAATCGTGCTCCAGCATGAACGCACTCGCAGCACCGCAATTGTGGGGTTCTTGGCCGCTGGCCTCGCCAACGCCCCCCGGAGTCCGTAATCCATGGTGCCCGAGGCTAGCCGCCGCCCTATCGTGGCCCCATGGCCGGTCCGCAGCTGCCCCCTGCTTGGTCCGCGCTAAAGCTACGGTGCCCCCTAGCCGGTCCACTGACAACGCGAAGCTCCATTGCTGGGCTCGAAGAAATGGAGGGCGGCTTCGCTTCAGCCGCCGCCCCATCGCGCCCCTTGGCTGATCCGCGGCTGCCCCCTTCCCTGTCCGCTCCAAGGTTGTGGTGTCCCATAGCCAGTC